TATTTTTCCAAGTAATTTTAGATAATGTTTGTGGATTACTTTCAAAATTATTTAATGATTTATTTGAATAAAATGTTCCTGACCAATGTTTATACATTTGCATAGCAGCGCCTTCAAATATAAGATGCATTATGTCTAATGGAAAAGAAGCAGGAAATTGTATTGCTCCTAATTCAAAAAGAATACTTTTGCCTGTTATACCTATAGTTTAAATTAATTTAAATTTGAGTAGTTTTTTAAAATTTAAATATATTACTATTATAGTATTTTATAATTTAAATTTTTATTATAAAATATAATAATAATATATATAATTAATAAACATACCAGTATCTTTTTGTGTCTTTTTTTTATTAGATGCAGCTTTTCATATTGATACTTTATCTAAATATGATTTGTAATCTCGTAATGGAAGTTTCTTAATATTATATAACTTTTTACTATTGGTTGTTGTATATTTTAAAGGATAATATATATGATTAATGCCTGATTTTAAATCTACTACCCCTTTTAAATCACAAAATCTACAGCCCATATATCCATTATGTCCTGTTACACATATTAGCTTACTAATTGCTGGAATATCACCACACCAAACTGGAACAAAAGCACGTAATATAAAACTTTCTTTTTTCCAACCATCCCAACAAATTATGCCATCTAAATTTAAAATTTTATAAATTAATTTATTTAATATAATATAAATAAAGAAATGTACTATTTGCATCTAATAAATATAATGCCCAGTATAAGTAAAAAAATTAAAAATTATTAATATCTTAAATTTTTATTAAGATAACTATATATAAATATCTTAAGTAAAATTGTTTAGCATTTAATTATATATAATTTTATATATTTTAGATTTATCTTAAACTTTAATATATATAAAACACTATATAAACATTATACCGGGTATTTTAATCTAGATATAAAATAGTAAATTTTATAAATAAATATATAAATATATATAATACCTTCAAGTTCTTTTAGTTCATTAATTATTGGTTGTATAAAACTATTAAAGTTTTTAGGGCTATTTGGACCAGGTATAATTGGTGCAATTAAAAGATTTTCTTGTTTTACTCTATCTTCTGGTGGAATATTATTGTTGATAAATATGATTACCCAATTATCATCTCTATGTTGTCGAAAAATTTGATACCTATTTAAGCTTGCTGAAAAGATTAAATCTCCTCATCTTTAATCATTCTATTATGTAATAGTCTTTTATATAAATGTCTATCAAAAATATCACAATATGTATTAGTATTTAATACATAATTAGAGCGATATCTAAAGAGCTTTGATCTTTCAGAATCAGCATATTGTAGCTTTAATCGAGGAATAATTGGATAATAAGCAGCTGATTTTTGTACAATTCTATTTTTATTAAATTGAGTAGCTAAACATATTGAACATTGCATTGCTTCTACATATTCATCAGTATAAGCTATACATGAATTAACACATATATCTATATATTGTATGTTAATATTAACTAAGTTTTGAAGAATATTTTTTGTTGAATATAATGTTGAACTATGACAATCAAAAATTTTCAATATTTCTTCAAAATTTTTATCTGAAATATGAGAATTTTTTGATTTTAAATGTAATAATTTTAATGCATTATAAGGCTTGTGGATTGAGAGAATGCTTGTTATCTTTAAGAATAATACAAGGTATATTTTTAGTTTTGCATATAATGCATGTGTATGCATAATGTGAGTATGGTTTGAATGGAATAGGTTCAGTAGATGTTTTTTTTAATATCACTACAGAAGGTAGGGAATGGGTGAGAAATTTCATGCTTGGGTTGAAATTTGGATCTTGAAAGGCTTTTAAGAGATTTAAATAATTTAATATCGAAATCTATTTCCATAGAGTTGGATGAGTCAGAAATGTTTTCAGTAGTAGGTTGAGAAGATGTTGAGATAGTAATATGTTGAGAAGTGAAATAGGTATGATATTTTTTGCAAATGCAGGTAGTAATAATAGGTGCAATAGGCTTTGCAAAAAAGTAAAAGCCATTTTGTAAGTCACATGTTGTAGGATTAAAGTTAATAGGTAGAACTTTAAGAGTTCGAATGTTGTTGTCATGAGTAACCGAACCAGATGTATTACCATATTTGGCAAGATAATTATCAAGATCAAAGGAGTCAGGTTCAACATTGCTAATGCTCAGCATGTATGTAACTATTT